TTGAGCTAAACAATTAAACAAATAAATGATCCACTTTCTATATTTGCTTAAAGGCATCCATGTTTGCAGAACCCAGTTCCTGAGAAATTGATGCCAATGCAAAATTACTAGAATCTCCCTGATCATGCACCGGCTGGCTATGCCCTCCTTCCCAGGGACTCATTATCTTTTCTTCAGTTTGAACCCCACAGAATTTTAACTGGAAAACTGCTTCCAACTTATCTTCACCTTGCCAAGAAAATGTACTCACATTTTCAATCTCATCATTCTTCATCTGGTTATTCGCTTTCGACCCGTTTCTTTTGCTCCCTTTAACGTCACTCATCAAGCTGTAATCACCCATTCTCGAACAACCATCTAAATAATCAGCTTCGACAAGGCTTTGAAAGTCAAAATTCATCAAATTAGGCATTGAGTTGAAGTCCTCATTATTATTTTCAAAAGGCCCTATCCCATTTTGCTGGTAATGAGACACAAAATTCAAATTGTACTCATTTTCTTGAAAACAGGACGAGAATAGTTCATTTCTTGAGGATTGAATTTCCCCTGTTTGCACCACTCGGGTCGAACTTGTGAAGCTTGGAAGCACTTTTGGCTGCACAATGTGATTGTTAGGTGAAGATGAGTCCATATTATGATGAAGCTTTTTGCTTTTCACTTGAAGAATTCGAGTTATGGGCTTGTGAGTGTTTGGATCAATGCCTAGCTTTGTTAGTTTCTTCTTGAGGGCCGAGTTCCAAAAGTTCTTGATCTCGTTATCAGTTCTCCCGGGCAGATGTGTTGCAATTTGAGCCCACCTGCCATTTTGTTTTTTTATCAATTCAAATCATATCAAGAGTTTCACGTAAAGCTTATTAACTTATATAAGCACCTATTGCCAAGAGTTTCATGTAAAGCAATGATCAAATCCTCCTCATCTTGTGAAAACATTCCTCTTTTTAAATCAGGCCTCAAGTAATTAATCCATCTTAACCTGCAACTTTTCCCACATCTTTGCAGACCTGCTCCAAAAATAAAAAATAAAAAAAATAAACTCCAGCATATTTTTTTTTTTCTCTTTCATAGTTTATGTTTTAATCTTCTAACAATAAAAACAGCATCTATAAATGGACAAAAAGAAATGACTAAAAAACCTGCCAATTTAGGCACAGAGCTCCAGCAACCGACACCATAGTTTGTAACGTAGTCAGCGAGTTTTTCATCTTCTTCGGGTGACCATAAACCTTTTCTCAGTTTTTGCTTTGCATTACACGAATCGCGCCCCATTTTCGAGTCGCGTTTTTGTCTGAAGAACAAATGAGAAAAATGGGTGCTAGCTTTGATTTAGCTTCAACTGTGTGACATATTAAAATGAGAGATGATCACATTGGATTAAATAGTATGATCAAAGAAAAAAAAAATGTGATTAAAAATAAATATTGATTTATTTAATAAATAATAATATGATGTCATTTAGAGGGGGGGTGGGGAGTGAAGCAATCAAGTGGTTTTGAAGCAATTCTTTGGTTCGGTTTTTGCAAATTGGACTTAATTGGGTTTTAAGATATCTCTATCCCAGAAATGAAATTAAAATTAAATAAAATTTGAAGATAAGAAAGCACAAGAATGTGAATTAACAAAGAAACAGTCTGCATACATATAGTTTTATTAGGAAAAATGTACATATGAATGAGAGTGTAACTCAAATAATTGATGTTCAATTATGGCAAGTTATACAGTCTAATCAGAAGTTGATTGGTTTGATAATTAAGCTTTTGGGGCCTTTCATTTAGTACTCTGCTTTCTTAATGTATTGCCCAATTCCTATTACTTCATTTGTCCATATAATTCAACCCTCTATTATTTGTTCCTCACAATACACAAGACTTTGGATTGTGTAAAAGGAGACGAGTTAACACACATAAATGCTTCATTTAGATTAATATTTCATATGCTACTCTTCATGCCTTGCTATTATACGGATGGTTTGAGATTGACACATGAAAAATGTAAATATTTTTAATATTTAACATTTGTATCTATTTTAAACAACCACTTGGTAAAAAATAAAAATTGTCTCAGACCAGCTACAATAACTAATCAATAGATTTACAGTTTTCATATAAAATATATTTCTAACAGTATGCATCACCAAAATAATTTAATAACTGTTTTTTTTATTATTTTAATTACAAATAAAGAAAATAAATTTTCCATGATGAACTCATTAATATCTATTTGGAGAATTATGAACTCATTGACACCAAAATAGACCGAGAAAAACGTGCTTTTTATTCATTTCCACAACTTTTTTTTTTTTTTATTTTGTTCTTGTTCACTTCATTTTTTTTTAGTTTTTGTTAGTAAAAATATCAAAGTGTACTGGGGCCATGAGAAAAAGGCAAAAAATGAAAAGAGAAAAGTATTTTGAAGAAAAAGAAAAATGTAATGAAAATGGGACATAAAATAACAATGTGAAATGCATGCCATTCTAGGTGTGTACTCAAATGTAGACAAATTTTCCATGCAGAGATTTAGTGAGTAAAATAAATACACTTAACACAACATAAACCAAGATCCAATACCTCATTTTGTAATTACTTTGTTCGATCAAACAGGATTTGACCAACCAAATATTTATTAAATGATGTTTAATTTCAGAGATGATAATAATAATGAATGACCTCATTAGGAGTCTGAACCTTAATTATCAAGCTGAACTGAATAGAAGGACAAACTTCTATCAGTAATATAGGGCTCTTTGATGTGATGCACATTTATTTTTCATAAATAAATTATAATGTGTAATATATTCACATTATTGGCAAACTGGGATCTAACCTGCAAACCAGAAATTAAGAATGATGCAAATAGAAATATCTTAAATTTAGAAATAATCGCATACTTACTTGGGACTAAAGGCTTTGTTGTTATTGTTAGAAATAATGGCATAATTGATCTCTCTTATATTTATTAGCTCATATACAACATGTTATTTAACACAAATTTCCATGTAAGAAGCCGTACAATTAAACAAGTTATTTCGTCATATTTTTGAATAAAAATAACACTTATACGGTAAATTGTCATATGTGTCATTTTTGTACGAAATACACATAATAATTAAAAAATATAATTCGTTAACTATTAAACCTGCATAACAACAATCTACTTGTTAGTTTATAATTAGGCTTATCAGTTCATCTACAAGACACCACGAAAAATCGAAAATCTCCTTCTAATTTTATGATAATCGAGTTATTCTTTACGCAAAGAGAGAATGAAACACAAAGGGCCAATCACTGTATTACTCTATTTGTGTTAGTTGAGGCAACTTTGGACCCAATTTCAATTGTTGATAATAATAACATTTATTATGTCTAATTCTGCCCAAAGTTAACGGTAGCAATTATGCATATCACCATTTTTAACTGGTCTAATAATCACATTATTAAGAGGGGTGATTAGACAGAGAAGCCATCAATTTTCTTTATTTATTTATTTTCTCCCTTAATTATCAGCTTTTGACTTTAAATCCTCCACAAAGGTAAATGAACACATAAGAGGGCAATGTAGGCCATCATAGAAAGGACTCAGGAAAGATTAATAATCCAATTTTGAAGATACCTTGCTTGTTTGGCATGTTATTTAGATGGATGAGTTGAAAAGGTGTGAAATAAAAGCCTCTTTTCCATGTTTTCCTTGGTATGTATGAAAAATTGTGTGCGCTGGTGAGAGGGAGGGAAAAAAGACATTGCAATGAGTAAAATTGGTTTAAGGGCGAAAAAATGAATTTTTTGGAAAAGTTGTAAATGTTAACAAAATTTCAAAATGTAGTGTTAGATTGTCTAATTGTTAGCAGATTCTTGTAAAAAAACTGCATAAAATATCACATTTTCATTTATATTACATATTAAAATATGAAAACTGAGTATGAAAGTATGTATATTTGTTGTAGAAATCCAAAATATACAACCATAAATTTGATGCTACTCATTTTTTGGAAATTAATGGTGATAATAAACGTAATCCATGAATGTTGATCCCAAACGAGCTTAAGGCTATTAATTATGTGAAATGATAAATCTAACTAATCCATGACGATATATTACTGATAAGGCTATTAACATTCCCATGTGACATTATCCTTTTCCATATTAGCAACAACAATTGTTTGGACAAGAATAATTGCAATGAAACTGTTGTTCAGTTGGTGCTTCAAACTTTTATGTTGCCCCAAAACAGATCTACAATCATTCACTCATTGTGCACCTGAAAAAGAGCAATACAACACAAGATCATACAATACTTGACACTTCACATTTTCAAAATATTATGTGAAACTTCTACTCTACGACCAATTTTCAAGATGAAGCACTACGAAAACGAGCTTTTGTAATTTTTGGATGAGAAATATCATATCTGATTCTTTACATCAGTCATCTTCTCCTCTTTCACAGTGGCACAACTATCCCTGAACAGAAAGAAAGACATGAAAAAACAAATCTCACATGTACTGAAAAACTTTTCGATGAAGAAAACCGTGTTGTGTTGCTCAATTTTTATATAAATATTTGAATCATATTCAAAATTTAACCGTGGTCTCAATAAAGTGTTCAACAACATCCATGTAGTACACGTTGTACCAGAAATAAGACATTTAATACACTGACTAGACTTCCTAGGAATCTTCAGCTCTCAATCTCTTCAATTCACAACAATTTGTTGATTCAATAGGCAATTACCAAATAGCTATTGCAGTTCTAGAAATTCAAAAAATCGATCATCCCCTTTCTCATAATATTCAGGAACCTATCATTTTTTTAAATTATAAAATATCCATTTAGATGGTCAAACGAGGAATTTTTTCCACCATATAAAGAGAGACGGATTAATTAATCACTTTTAGATAATATAATAGTTAAGTAAATGCTCGTCAGTTCTGCCTACACTCAATATTTTCTCATATTAAAACTGTCATGTCAACTCTAGAAAGCTCCTTTCGATATTTATTGTGAATTAGCTTCTGAACCAAGTGATCACTTGTGTCAACTCTAGGAAATTTGTGATATTTATTATTGTGAATTAGATTCTGAACCAAGTGATCATTTGCTAGCAGCTTAACTGGATCTAGCAACATTAAGGGCATCCTTCAATGGGGCGTCTTTCTTGAGGTTTTGTGTAAAAAATCCTTAACATTCATGTTTGGCATGGTTTGGTGAGGGATTTTTGGGTTACAAACTTGTTCGAGGCATTTTGACATAGCAAATATTGGTATGAATTAGTACAACTTCAGCTTTTAGTATAATAAAGGAAAGTTCAGTTATCTTCCCGACTTAAAAGTAACCCCCTTAATATTTGTTACTGCTTTAGAAACCGCACCTATAGATCCAACGGGAGATTCATAGAGCAAATTCAAATGCGGGTTTATGATTTTGGAAGAACGCCTGATTTATTTATGCGATTAGGCTAAATTTCTTTAGCTGTCACGAGATTTCTTGTTCCCACAGGATGATCTCCATCCCTATTCAAACTCAAATGCAAACACAACTAAATCTTAATGAATATCAAGACAATTTCACAAGAATCAGATCCTACCTCATATTTGTGCTTGTTTCGTATGTAGCTTCATTATTCAAACTCCGCCGTGCAATTTCTCTTTCTCATCATCATCAGATTCATATTCAGCATCACCATTCCATATCCTCGGTTTAGGTCTCACTTCCATGTCGCCTTCTGTCTGATAATAACCGTATATCAGAATCAAACATATAATGTCAACATAATTTAGTAAAAAGTTATTCTGTGTTGACCTCTTCCGGAGCTTCTGTGGTCGGGGGCATGGACTGAAAAGGGACGCTTGGTGCATGCTGTAGTTTAGAAAGTTGATCTAGTAACATGTTTCTGCAATTCCAGACGAACTAATATAAGAAATAATTCACATATGAAGGCATAGAGTTATATAAACCTACCAGCACAAAGAATAATAAAACTGATAAATGAGTAGCAAACAGGGCATTCCATTATTAATAATGGGACTTTTATCCAAAATTTTCACATAATTAGTGCTTAGAACAAGTTTGGGAGTGGGAAGGGGGAAGCCACATTTGTAGAATATTATGCAAGCACGAAGTACGCAGTTATACACGAGCAAATAAATATAAGAAACACAGAGACAGAGTACCAAGCCAGATCTTCATCAATAAATATAAGAAATACGGACACAAAAGTACCAATGAAAAGGAACTTAAAAGATAAAAGAAAAAAAGAAAAAAAATAATGTGAGCATGCAATGGTTTTAAATGGCAATGGAATGTGTGAGAATAGTAGAAAAGAGGATAATACGAGGAAGCGCAAAGAATCACAAAAAGAAGCAGCAACAAAATGACAAACTGTGCAGAAAACTAAGGAAGCCAAACCGTAGTTATAAATAACATAACAACAATATGAATACCTGTGCACATTGCACTATTCATATAGACATTCAATTGGATGCTCCAAAGTACAAAAACAGAAAGTTAAACCTTCTTGTCCACTAATGATTAATGAATAATAAATATGAAGCTGGGATGCGTAAACTTGAAACGATCAAAGGCAACAAGGTGCAGAAACCATCCCTAAACATGCAAAAAATAATGGAGGCCTAAAATACATTTATAGGTGAAGTTTGGTACAAAAATTTACCTGATTTTCTCTAAATCTCTGTCCGTATTAAGATTTTCCCTATTGCCTGGCTCCACATGAAGAGTATAATCCGGGACAAAATACTCAAAATATTCATTGTAAGGCAACTTATTGTCTGGTTCAACATCAACTGCCACTGCAGTCTAGCAGAAAGCAAACGGGTATATATATCAGTGGATATGCCTGAAAGTTAGTGAATATAATTTCATGAAACCAAATGAAGATAGAAATAAAGAAGTTGATTGCAAAAATAACCTTAGGATTCAGTCGTCAATTTGAAAAAAGAAAAACTGACAATTGTTTCACAAATATCAAAACTATAAAATAGAAAAGCAAACCCTGTTTTGCACCCTCCATAGAGATGTGCTTGTCAAGCAAATGCAAACCACCAGCATGTTTCAGGTGTTTGTAATTTTAGAAAACCACTTGATCAATTATGTGATTAGGATAAACAGTTAATGTAATTTTTGCATCTTAAAAGAAATGAAAATGCACAGGAAAATTAACTATGGAGAACGGGAAACACACACATGACACATACAAACACACACACCCACAAAGATATTGATTTGAGTGTGAGACCTCGTAACACCACCAACGAGCAACGTTCCTTATTGTATACCCTCCCCCACCCAGAACCATAAGAGGAACATTGAATGACCTCAAGAATCGAAGACAGTCTGCATGCCCCTTCATTAAAGCACCCTAACCTGTCGCCAACCAATGAATCTGCCCCACATTGAAGAACAACAGCATCTGGCTGGTAAACTTCCATGACTTTTTGCATAATGGGGCGGAGCAAAGTACGAAAGTTTTCATCATTCAGCCCATCATTTAACGGGACATTTAGAGCATAGTACTTCCCTGTGCCTACCCCGATGTCTTTAATATGTCCGGTTCCAGGAAAGAATTCACCAAATTTATGGAATGATACTGTCATTACACGGTCAGTCACATAAAAGGCCTCCTCGACACCATCTCCATGGTGAACATCAATGTCAACATATAGTACACGCTGCACGTTGGAAAATATGGTTAAAAATTGCAATACTATTAAAAAGGACTGCACTAGATTTTCTATCAGATTAAATTATCGGAAAGTATAGAAACATGTTTATAAGATCATTACTAGAGAGCAAATAGTTGTAACGAATCTAATCACCGAATTAACTATAGACAATCTCTCTTTTGCATAAACAGAATAAAGGAGGGAAATCACAAAACAAGGGGACAACAACAATGAGTTGCAACCATTAATAGTGCTATCTGACTCAAAGTTTAGAAAATAATTATCATGTTACATTGAAAATCTGTGACCACCTGTCATCATTAATCAATTTGAGTAACACACATAATCCATAGAGTAAATAAGTGCAATAAAGAGACAAGGAATCCAAAACAGAACAACCCAAACCATTTCTAGTGGATACTAGATGCTAGCAAATAAGAACAATAGTCCAAACATGATCAGATAGATGATAATATCTCAAAACACAAAACAAACCTCCTAACCATAGACAATCCTGAACACAGTCAAGTAGGGTGATATTGCTAACATTCCCAAGACATATTCGGAGTTCATTTGTGTAGATATTTGGCAGTAACATGATCCCCAAAATATTGGAAACTATATGGCACATAACTACAAACAGCAGGCCAAGAATCAGCTCGATAAATCTACATGGGAAATAAAGCTGCAAAAACAATACTAAACAAAACAGTAAAACATGAAAAGGAAGAAAAAAAAGCACAAAATATCAAAACAGAACAAAACAGTCATAAGTCGGATTGGAGTATACCAATTGCTAGTTACACTTTCATTACCCTATGAACTTTAAGCAGCTCCAAAATCCCCAGCACAATGTCATTGACATAGAAAAACCCCGAAGCGATTTTTCGCGTGATGCAACCCTCCTGTCCATTTAATCGCACTGCCGGTTAAGCTTGACGGCGGCCCCGATGGATCCACCGGCCGACGCCTGGCAGAAACTGAATAAGCCGTCGAAGACGGGGCAGTCCTCCCCGACATTGAAGCGCTTGAGCTGGCGCGAGTGCGTGTGGTCATGAAGCGCATCAGAGGAGACGGAGGATAGGAACTCGACGTACTCCGGCGAGCGGAAGAGGCGGATGTCTGCGGAATCAGCGGGGAAGGGGCGACTTATCTCCATGCGGCCGGTTGTGCACCATGCGAATGCGATGGGACTTCATCGGGTGGCCCTGTCCGTAGTAATAGTCAACGATTGTCGGCTCGTAGAAGTAGGAAACACGCCGCTTACGCGCGTCGGGACAGGACGATGGCAGCGACTCGCCGCCGACTGGGTCCATATTTTCGGGAGCGGGAGAAATTAGAAGAAATGAGGGGCCTTGTTGAAATCCTTTGACCAGGGTTTCGCAATAACTTCCGAATCTTCATGTATGCATAAGTTGATGACCCGTGCAATGCACGGGAAAACAATATTACGATTGTATTATAAATTAAATATATAAATAACATTAATCATGATATATGTATTGTTTTTACATTAAACCGAGTTGGACACAGTCCGATCGGATGGACGGAGAACCGATTTATAACCGGTCTAGTTCGTTTGAATAAGATATTTGCTTTTGAATCCGTCAACACCAATCGGTTGGATTTGTAGGATCGACACGATTGTTTAAATAAATTTTATTATATTTAAAATTATTTTAAATAAAATTACATATTTAAATAAAATAGAGATTTATAAATTATTTATCAATTAGTTTAAACATTTGAATTTATAAATTTTTTAAATATCTAAGTAACACATTTTGTTTATAAATTACTATATATATATATATAAATTTTGTTTAAATTTATTACGAAAAATACTATATATATATATATTAAAATGTTTATAAATTAAAATCTGAACAAACCACAAATGATTTAATAAAATAGCTTGATCGTTTCGATGACGGTCCCGTTCTGAAAACCTTATAGTTAATGTACATTAATAAATATTATAATGAAACATTTTCTTATTCACATAAATATTAATAAAATGATATATAAATATTCATAAATCATTAAACATGTTGTCATAAAAGTATTGTTAATACGATTATTTGAAATTTGGACTGCATCACATTCATATAATAAAATATTTTCAATATAAAATTTATATTTAGGTTCAATAATCAATTTTGTGTGATCGAACTGATTCATAACTTTGTCACCTGGGACCAACCAAGTTGTGTCAAGTTTTTTGAATATTTTAAATATCACCTAAAAGTAATTTAATCAACCTGGGCAGTACCCTAATTCAATCACCTGATTGATCCGAAGAAATTTTCTTATTTTCTTTAAATATATTTAATTTTATGAAATAAAAATATTTTATGATTCATATAATAAATGTCTACACCAAAGGAGAGTATATTAAGATTAAGATGATAGTATCTTAAGATGAATTAATTATTTTTACTTTATGCATATCAATAAAAAATAAACATAGTTATTTTTAAAAAATTAAGAGTACTTGATTGATTATGCAATTTAAAGAATATTTTTAGCGTTCAATTTTTTTTAAAGGCACAAAATAAAGACCGAGATTCTAAAACTTTTGTTATATTTTGAATTGAGATTTTATAAATATAGAGACCGAGAATTTAATTTTGTTCGTTGTTTCTAAGGAAAAAATAAAAATAAAAATATACACACTTAATAAATCTTAGCCAGGTGTTTTAAATAATAAAATGAACTATAGTCCGAAATTTAAGGTAACATTTAATGCTGTATGAATTTTAAAGAAAAAATTAAAAAAAAATAATAAAACTTACTATTTATAGACTGCATTAAATTCTGACCTATTGTTTTGTTACTATTTTTAGTAAATGTTAATTCTTATTATATATATATAGACATAGATTATGGATTGGGTAGATTTTAGCCAATAGCCATATCAAATGTTCCTTACAAATTTAACTCNTAACCATTCATTAAATAAACTCAACAAGAATAGTACACTATAAATTCGAGACCAACTGGAACTGAAAATACCAACTTATCAATTGTTAGTAAAAGGATACACAGTGAGAGCCAAAACATGTTGCTCCCAATACTCACCACAAACTACTCAAAAAACACCTAAAAAGCATTATTAAGCTTTGACAATCGAAAAAGAACAAGAAGCAAATAATCTAGCTAGACCAAAAATATCCTGCACCTGATAATTTTCTGGATCTGCAAGGGTTCTCAATTTGTTAAGTGCTTCTGCAATTATCCTTGAATTGGTCCAGTAGATCACCTCCTTCCATTCCTCTTTCTGAATTAGTCCACACTTTGAGCTCTCTTCCTCCTTTCCAGGCATATCCACTGATTTTTCTGAGATAGTTACAAGGGAGTGAAGCACTGACAGATAATGAAACTTGCCCTACTTCCTGGGAAAATTTCCCTCCAACATTCTCAGAGTCTTCATCCATTAACTCCACATCACCAACCTTAGAGCATCTCCAATGTGACTTTTGACATTATAAAAATTCATCTATATCATCAACTTTTGAAAGTTTGTTACAAATTTATTCTCCAATGCATCTTGTCATAAATTCTTTCATGATGAGGTGGATAGTATTTAATGTTGACAATGTTGAACACACTTTCTAATATCTAACACCATGTTAAACATGATGACTAATCATTTCACTTTATATTTGATTTAATTTTTTATTGTTCTTGTATTAATGATTATTTTAATTGGTCCACCTATACATATAACTTCTTATCAAATTGATGCATTGGAGATACTAATTTGATTCAAATTTCTACTCTTTTAACATTATTCCTACATGGGTTAACATTACAATCATTGATTGACATGTGTTAAAAATTATTGTCTTTCAAAGTTATAACATTGGAGATGCTCTTATTAACAGCGTTAAACTCAAGCCCTTCTGATTTAGCTTTGATTATTTGAATTATCGAATATTTGTTAGCTATTCGATTCTATTCGAATTATTTTATCATTAGCTGTCAATTTTATATTTTCTCAATTTCATAGCAAATGTCGAGACCAACTTTTAGCCTTAGGGGGCGATTGGATATAAATTGAATAGTAAAATAATCAATCAAAACTCAAATTTAAATCAATTTTAACTCAACTCCACTTTCTTCAATATTATCAATATAATTAAATAATATCAACCTCACATCAACTTTAATTCACTATTCATCAACTCACATAATTTTAACTAACTATCACTTTCAATAATTTGTCTCCTACTTTACATCAAATCCACTTTAATTATTTTATTTAAATATTATTTTAATATATCCACTAACAACTAACCATATCATTTTTTTTAAATTAATTATAATTAAAAAACAAATTAAATAAAAACTAATTGAATCTATAAACAATCACCCTTAGTTTCTCAGCCCTTTAGGCTATTGCAAATTTCGGCCCAAATTTAGTAGAATATTTTCGGCTCATTGGGATTTCCTTAGCAGTAGAAGAACCGGCTTTTACCCTATTATTTTTCCCAATCGCGCAGCTTTTCATCAGATATTGAGAACCCTTCTCTTTCGATCTCTCTCGCCCAGAAATTTCAGAAAAATCCAAGCAAGAGATCCCCTAAATCGAGGTGTATCATCGTTCAGCGATAAATCCCATTCTTCTTCAATCAATCTCGCCCAATTACAGAAAACCTTTTAGCCCTCAATATCGCGGCCATCAATCGTCTTCATCCTTCTCCTCAGACGCACGACTCCTCTCAGCAAGTAGCAAATCCCGTTCCTCATCTTCCTCCATCGGCGAGTAAGTAGCAGCCGTTGCCGTGAGTTTCCGAATAGCACCAGCCGCGTGACTTCTTCCGGCGAGCATTACCTCCGTCCGCGACCGCCGACAACGCCATAGACACGCGAGCAGAGCCACGCCGCTAGCAGCAGCTTCCATCCTTTTCACGTTCAACGCCGGGAGTTCTTCATCGAGCATTTTGGCCGTTCGAGTTCACCAAGCATTAGCCGCTCCCGTAATTCTTTTCAGCCGTCCAAACGAGTGACAGCAGAGGCCTCTCTCGTCCGCCTCACACCCTGCCGTCGTTTTCTTTTCAGCGAACATCAGCCGTTCGTCGGGACCGTGCATCGAGCAGACCCAGCCCTTTTTCCTGAAGAGCAGCGGCTGTTTTTCATCACTAAGAGCCGCGAGCAGCACCTTTGTTGTCGTACAGCGGCACATCAAGAGCGGTAGTTCGTTCATCGCCATTGTCCGAGCAAGCCGTTCGCCGTCGACTTTGAACAACCACCATTTCAGCCCGATGTGCTAGGGGAAGCCGGAACAGCGACGACAACCTTTTGGGCCCGTGCGAGAAGAGTAGTGAGCGTTTTGGCGAACGAGTTTGCCGAGTGTAGTGGTTTATCGAGCTTTGCCGAGGCCGAGTTCGAGCCTTCGAGGCTTCGTTTCTACTATCTTTCAGCCCTCCTCGTTCTATTACGGAAGAAGGTAAAATGGCTTTACCTTCTCTTTATTTTTGTGAATTATATTGAAGGATAAATTGAGTTTAAGGTTCATGCGTTTGGAATTAAGAATAATATTCCATTAAAAATTGATGTTGGGACTCTTAGGTGTTATTGCTGTCCGAATTTGTGAGATTTCATAGCCTCTGGTTTTGTTTGTTTCTGATGCCAATATATGTGAGAATAATCATGTTATTTCAATGACTCAAGTATTTTGAAAGATCGGGTTGCAGGCCTAAGTTTTTCAGCCAATTAGATTAGAAAATATTGATGATATGCTAGCCTCTGTTTTAATGCTCTTATACCTGGAGGAATTGTGTTTTAATTGCCTTTGAGGATTGGGTGAAATTGGTGTTCAAATAGTTGGAAATTTGCCTTTTAAGTGCGATTGAATAAAAATCAAGTTCTTTGCCAAAGGATGTGACTTTTCAGAATATTATAGACTTTTCAGAATATTATAGCCTCTGATATGGTGTCTTTAGGCCTGATAATATTGAATTTTATATGCCTTAAGATTTGGTTTAAAATTGAGTTCATTTGCCTTTAGAAATAAACTGAGAAAAATGGGATTTTTGATAAATTATTTTTAGCCCCAATTTATGTGGGAAAATATGATGTTATGGACTCCAAATAATTCTGAGCCCGAACCGGTTTTAAAGGCTCCGAAACTCGTTTTAAAATTATCCCGAGCTTTAAAATGATTTTTCGAGTCGAGGCATATTATAGATTATTAAGGAATAAATTCCGAGAATTTTTAGAGAGTTCCAACATCTGGAAATAAAAGAAAAGATTTTATAAGTCGTGAACCTTAAGTTAGGAAATCCTTCAAATTGATAAATTAGTTACCGATTTAAGAGTTAGTTGTTTATCCGAGTATCGCTTATTTTTATTTTTATGTAGATTTTGAGGAGTCGAGCCTTCGAGTTTCCACATAAGCGACGACTCTCAGTTTCAGTTCAGAATATCCATGTGGGTTTATTTAAATTGCTATGCGGTAAATTGTTTATGTTTGTTGGGTTGGTATGATCAATGTATGCATGTGAACCGTGTAGCCTATCGATGTGTGCTGTTTCGGCCGTCGGTACGGTTGTCCCTGTCGATGTAATACGGTTGTCCTTGTGAGGCAAGTCTCCTTAAGTCCTAATGAAAGGCCGTGCCCTTGTGAGGCATGTACTCCCCCCCGTTAGGGTAATGAATCCCCTTCCGTATGTAATGAAAGATGTGTACACAGGAGCAATGTTATTATGTGAACAGGAGATGAGACAGGATTAATTGATTTATGTTCATGCTGCGACCATACATTTTTATCATTATAAATGGTTTATTTGCATAGTGGTGAGCACCACCGGTTCCATATGTGCTCATCCCCACTTTTCTTTCCCAGGTTGAGCAGTGGCAGGCATGACGGCAAGAGGACGAGTGGCTAGTCTTTTATTTATGTTATTTGCTTCCGCTTAGTTCTATGAACATGTTGATTCAGTATTGTTTTGGTTTTCAAAGACATGTTGGTTTCTTTCAAACTTGTGTTTTGAAAATGTTGGGATTTTGGAATTGTTTTGGAAAACTTATGCTTGGTTCGTTTAATTTGAAACATGTTGATTTGGATATTCATGATTGATGTGTTTATTTGAATATCATGTTGAGTTATATGCTTTGGGATAATGAGGTCCATGTGAAAAATCGGGTAATGAATCCCCTTGAGTTCAGATATGACTTGAACTATGTTGTAAAATGATTTGATAATGCCCAGGTTTAAGTTGAAATCGAAAAATGAATTTTGAAAATTTACTATGAGTTTTGAAAAAACCATGGATTTTCTTTAAATCAAAGTAAGGCGTTACATCAACTATGTGAGAGCATATAAAATTATATAAAATGCGTACTTCTTTTATTAAATCATACGCAAATTTACTTTTCCATATTATTAATATAGTTCCTATGTATATTATTATTTTAGTAAAATTTAAGTTTCCCTTATTTTCTTTTTCTAAACTCATAAGTGAAAAGTGTGCGGAGAGTGCAAGAATATATGTTTTATGAAAAATAAATAATAATGTTGAAGAAAATATAACCAAAGACGTTAGGTAGCATCTCACTACTATTAGAACTTTTTCATTGTACAATTAATATTTATTTATTTATTTTCTTTTAGGTTTTGGTCAAATCTTCTCATTACCTTTGGTAAAAAAATTTCTTTATCATAACCAACGTTAGATGAAGGATATTAACTACAACCAACGAAGTCACTCATAATCTGTCCCATGATGTTAATATTGTTGTGTTAAAACCTTTTTGACTTCTCAAAAACTATTTTATAGGTGTGGAAATTTTTTCTGTTACTCCTCATATTGCTCATTACTTACCTCAACGACTCTTCTTTTACTTGCGTTTCGTCTGTTAATTTTTCCCTTCTCTATAATATATATGCATGTGCATAATATTAAGGATTATTTTATTAGCTCCTACTTCTAATATTGAATCAAAATAGTATCGATTCTCATCTCAACAACATTAAAGTGGGCGACTTTTATCATTATGTTCTTAATTGAGTTTGACGACTTTTTAATATAGAGCACCATATTCCAAAAAGAGACGTAATGAACAAAAAAATCATATCTTTTTACCTAAAAGATAAAAATTATGTGTGTAATACATTTTTTCTAAATAATTTTTGTTAGGAAATATAATGGTCATGACGAATTCATTAGTTTTTTTTTTTTTAAATAAAATTTTATACTATTGTAGAAACTCATAATTTTCAAATGAGTGTAAGATTATATTTTGTAACCACTATAAGCTAGTTTATAACTTACGTTGACTTATAATTTTCTTGTAGTACAATAAATTTGTTTGGTAAGATGAATTTTTTAAGAAGTTCAAGTTCATTTTATAAGCTTCTTTGCTAGCTTTTCCAAAAAGTCAGTTTTAGCCGACTTATCAGATAATTTTATCATACTTTTATTATATTAGCTAATTTTTCAACTATCGCTCATACTATAAGCTCTAAATTTATTTATAATCTATCCACTAATTATCAGCTATTAATGAATTTTTCAACTAAATTTAGGCTCTAAATTTATTTATCATCTATCAACTGTTTATCACTATTAATTAATTTTCCAACTAAATTTACCAAACATACTCTAAGTAACTTTACTGTTTTTGTTTTTAAATTATATCATATTGTGAAAGTGCATTTTTACACTAATTGGGAAATATGTGAAAAGTTTGTGTTATATACCATTGTTTGAACTATGGGTCTTGAAGTCTAAAAGGGATGGTGCACAAAAACTACACATTAGCTAGGCACGAGAGTCTCCCTCGAAATGCCTTTTCTTCATAGAGTTTTAACCACTTCGATTTGAATATGATGAGAATATTTACTCAAGATACGTTAAAGTCAAGATGCATAAATATTGCTAATCTTTAGCATTTGAAAGAAGCAATGAGAATTAAGTGAAATCTTGTTCGAAAATGATTGGAGATTGCAAATATACTGCCAACCAAATTAAAGCCGACTACGTATCTTCCAAAAGATGCTAATTTCTAGCCATTAGTCAAAGTTTTTCTCCAATGTTTTTCAATTCAATAATTCTCAAGTTGTTGAGACTTAAATTAATTATAGTATATAATGAAAAATTTTAAGTATAACCTTTGCTTTAAAATCGAAATTCTAAAGTCACATTTAGGCTCTCTTTTTTTTTTTCTCTGTGAGAAGGGGAATAAGGGAGGAAATGTTTGTATTTTAGTTATCAAAAAATGTGTGTTCATTTAACAGAACGAATCATGAGATGAAATACAAAAGTGGAACTAGAAATCTTAGCCCGACTTGCCAGATGTTGAATGGTAAATAATTAGTGTCACCAATATATAAAAGCAAAATTATATAGTAAAGATTAATTAATTATGATTTTAGTATTGGGATAAGAAAATCTGAAATCTATTATCATATTACAAGATTTGCATACATATATGAATATGCGAAAAAAAGCAAAAATAATGAAGATAGAATATAATCATTCCTCCTATTATTTCTTAGTTTTTACCAGTAGCGTACGATCGTGCAATTATGCTTTCGAAGTTTAAGCATTCATTTGTCATGCAAAATATATACTTCATCGCAACTGAAGTTAAAATTATAAGATAAACTTCTTCTTTGTACCAAAATAAGATAAAATATGCATGACTGAATTAAATTAGGCAAATTCGTGAAATTCTGACTGCATATTAAAATTAATTGGACCGAATTCGTCGAGTGATCTGAAATTATAATACCAAAATTACAAGGTCCTCAAATTAAGTTAAAGAACTAGTGTTTCTATAACATAAAATTTCAAATTTTTGGTTCACTACTAATCATTTTTTTTTAAGAAAAAAAAAAATCATTGATCAAGTTAGTATATCAATTTTTTGGTTTATCTTTTTATCTATTTAATCCGCTAATGAACATGTTTTAATAAATTGAACAAATTAGTATATCAATTTCAGCAAGACCCAATGCATTTTTTTTCTTTTTGATAGATACCAATTTAGTGGATTAAAATTAAAATTTTATTGGTGTTGTAGTAACTTGAACTTATTCATTGGTGATCATTGTTCAAGATAAAAATACAGATAAATGAGGAGGGGAAAAAAGTGAGACATTGGTATATATATAGAAAAGAGAAAAATAGGGGTACCATAGACAAACCCACATACATAGAGCAATCATAAATTTATTAGATGCAAGTTCATAGTCATGGCTCTAAGTCATCTTTTTTGTTAGTGTCCCCTCATTTATTTATTTATTTATTTATTAATTGTCTTCTTCTTCTTTAGTCCTCCTTGCTTCCTTCCAATATTCCCATTTTCATTATTCTTTCATTCTTTTTATTAAGCAGAGGCAAAAGCTCTGTTACTTTCCCTTTAGGGTTTTTATTTTGATCATGAAGGTTAAAACCTAACAATTCATTTCCCTCAAATTGTTTACATGCATATACACTGCAATTTTGCCTTTTGTTGTGAAGATCAGAGATAGTAGTCAGCCTTATTGGCAAAATCTTGAACAAAAAGGAGGTGAAAAAAAAGAAAGATATAAAGGTGTTAATTTTTTCTTCACATTCTTCTGATCAAAGTAAAAAACCAGGTAGCCAAAGCATACAGGTAAGTTGATCAGAAGCCTTTTTGCTGCCTAAAATTACAGTTTATT